GAACCTTCCAGAACATCGGAAAAGCACAGTGAAACACTGAAACACTGAAAGTAGGAAAGTGGAAGAGTGTATTTACGGTTAACAAAGAAAATGCTTCCAATAGTTAAAAGAAAAAAAAAAAAAGGCTAGAAGCTACTGAAACAGATGAGGTAAGAAATGATGACAAGAAGTTCTTAATCATTTCTGTCGTGGACTACTTCAACAGCCTAGAAAAGTCTGTGGATTCTCTCTCAGAATAATACTTAGAAATGCGTGGGATACAATATACAGAATGACAAAAGAAAACTGTATTATTATATTGAAGTAAAGCTATCAATTTATTTTAAAAATTTAAGTTCTGCTATAGTAATACATGTAAATAAATATTAAAAGCAGTAACATTACATAATAATATATAAAAATTTTCAAGCAATGATGAGCACAAATCATATTTCAAAATATATCAACAATTCAAAAGACTTCAAAATATATTTTCTGTATATGATACAAAAGCATCTTTTTTTACTGGTGACAGTGTTACAAGAACTGCTATCACTGGCATGTGTTGTCTATATTCATAGTGAAAGAAAACATTTAACTTTGGGTAGGGGATCATAAACCTCAAGTTGAGATATTTTCCTATCCACGTTCATGGATCTTAAGAATGCCTTACAAAGCCTAAGGTCCAGGCAACAAGATTAGAAATGAAAGAGATATTTAGAGAGAGTTATGTTTCAAATAAATAAACATCCTCTGTTCAGTAAAAAATGGCAAATAGATAAAATAATCCTAACTTAAACTGGATTGCCTCCAGAAAGTAAAAAGGAAATATCCCTATATCAACTGTTATTTAACAGTTTCCTTTACTTTGCTAAAAAGAGCACAGACAAACAACGGTAATACCGCCAAAGCATGATTCATTTTCAAGATGAATCCCTCCCCGTTCAAAAGTTTACATTGTTTTTGACTAGCATCAGATTGTTTATCCACACAAACTGTAAATACATCATTTTTAGAACTAACCAACAACAATGCCCATTTTGTTTTGACAAGTACCATACAAAAAGAACATAAAGAAAAATGACCATCACTCTAAAGTCTGCACTTTAAAAATGAGAAAAAATGATGGAGTAAAAGCAGGTGAAATTCCAACTTAATTAAACTTCAGCACATGTTATGAGGAGGAAAATGTCCCCTGAAATTCCTTGCTTTCAAAGGGGAATTTAAGAACAGCTGTGTTGCCCAAAAACCCATAATCTCCTCTCTGAGATGTCTTCTCTTAACTTTATGCAAAAACATTAAGAAAGTTATGAAAGCAATAATGCTGAGGGAAAATAATATATTTTGACAGAGAATTCAAGTATTACTCTTCAGAGGTCTCATCTTTTACAAATGACAAATCCTTAATTGGCTGGCACTTCACACTCTTCAGCAAAAATACATGGAAAGGTACTTGTTCAGCATTCAGTATGTGCTTTTTCCCCTGAGACAAGAGCAGAGATGACCTCAATTTTCTGTGCATCTTATGCCCAAGTCTAACACAGAACCTGGTATATGGTATCTTATTAGAGAAGGAAGAGTGGGAAGAAAAGAGGAGCTCAGAAGAATGCTCTCTGAAAAGGCACACACGGAAAGACTATAAATTCTTCCTATTTTTCTACTAATATATCTGGTTCTCTGGTCAACCTAGCCACCCAGTGTGCACACTGAACCTCTCTCCATAAAGTTTATGGTGAAACTGAAGTTAAGAAAAATATGCAACACAAAAAGCAAAGCCCTTGAAGAACCTATGTTGTTCATTGTTCAGTCGCTAAGTTGTGTCTGACTCTTTGTGACTTCATGGACTGTAGCATACCAGGCTTCCCTGTCCTCCACTATCTCCTGGAGTTTGCTCAAACTCATGTCTATTGAGCCGATGATGCCATCCAACCATCTCATCCTTTGTTGCCCCCTTCTCCGGCCCTCCATCTGTCCCAGCATCAGGGTCTTTTCCAATGAGCTGGCTCTCCACATCAGGTGGCCAAAATACTGGAGCTTCAGCTTCATCATCAGTCCTTCCAATGAATATTCAGGGTTGATTTCCTTTAGGATTGACTGGTTTGATTTCCTTGCTGTCCAATGGACTCTCAAAAGTCTTCTCCAGCATCACAATTTGAAAGCATTAGTTTTTTGGCGCTCAGTCTATAGCACCACCTAATTATAGAACAAAGTTGTACTGTTGTTGTTTAGTAGCTAAAGTTATGTCCAGCTCTTTTGTGACCCCATGGACTATAGCCCACCAGACTCCTCTATCCATGGGATTTCCCAGGCAAGAATACTGGAGTGGGTTGCTATTTCCTTCTCCAGGGGATCTTCCTGACTCAGGGATCAAACCCACATCTCCTGCATTGGCAGACTTTACTACTGAGCCAACAGGGAACTCAATGTGACAAAAGTTACACCTAAAAACGCAAGGAATCATTTCTGAAGTAAATTTCCTGAAAAATAGCTGAAAATATGAATAACTATCTCAAAGCTTTCTAAACCTTTTAAACATGCTAAATACTTTTTTTAATGACTGTTTTCACCCAAGACTTATTGTAAAAGATTTTCATGGACCACTAATTAAATGTAAATGAATCATAACTGTTCTTACAAAAAATAATAGAACCAAAGCACAAAACATCATCTAGGTAGAAAACAAAGATCCCAAAGTTGGGACTTCCTGAGGACTTCACTTCCTAATGCAGGGGTTATGGGTTCCATCCTTGGTCAGGGAGAGAAGATCTCCACATGCCTGCCTTGTGGCCATAAGCCAAAGCAACATAAAACAGAAGCAACGTTCTAACAAATTTAATAAAGACTTTAAAAATGGTCCACATCAAGGGAAAAAAAAAAAAGGTTCACATCAAAAAAATCTTAAAACCAAAACAACAAAGGGCCCAAACTTTTCTGAGTTGCAGAATTTCTCCTCAGGATTCTAGTTACAAATATATTTTTTCAGTCTATCTTAAAATTTCCTCCAAGGAAAAAATATATCTAAATTTATCTACTACATGTATCTTTAATTGACTAGGTATTACAAAAGCACATGTGTTCAAGCAGGAGCTAAAACAAATAAGGATAAGGATATGTCCAGAACCACAAAGATACTCAAACAAGTACTTGTACACACATGTTCAGAGTACCACTATTCACAAAAGCTAGAAGGTGGAAACAACCCAACTATTCATCAATGGATGAATGGATAAAATACTGTGGAACATACACATAACAGAATACTATTCAACCATAAAAAGGAATGAAGTATTGATACAGACTACAGTGTGGCTGTACCTCAAAGAAGCCAGACAAGAGGTCACATATTTTATGACTGCAGTTATATGAAATAACCATATCAGGTACATCTGTACAGATGGAAGCAGATTGGTGGTTGCTAGGGACCAGGGCACAGAAGAGTGGAGAGGAATTTCTTAAAGAATATGCCTTTTTTGTCTGGAGTGAAGACAATATATTTGGAACTAGATAGAAGTTGTTGTACAGTTGCTAAGTCATGTCCGACTCATTGCAACGCTATGTACTACAACACACCAGGTTCCCGTTCTTCACTATCTCCCAGAGTTTCCTCAAACTCATGTCCATTGAGTCAGTGATGCCATCCAACCATCTCATCCTCTGTCACTACCTTCTCCTCCTGCCTTCAATCTTTCCCAGCATCAGGGTCTTTTCAAATCAGTCAGTTCTTCACATCAGATGGCCAAAGTATTAGAGCTTCAGCCTCAGCATCAGTCCTTCCAATGAATATTCAGGGTTGATTTCTTTTAGGACTGACTGGTTTGATCTCCACGCAGTCCAAGAGACTCTCAGAAGTCTTCTCCAGAATCACAATTCGAAAGTATCAATTCTTCGGTACTCAGCCTTCTTTATGGTCCAACTCTCACATCTGTACATGACTACTGGAAAAACCATAGCTTTGACTATAAAGACCTTTGGTAGCAAAGTGATGTCTCTGCTGTCTAGATTTGTCATAGCTTTTGTGTGCAAGGAGCAAGCATCTTTTAATTTCATGGCTGCAGTAACCATCTGCAGTGATTTTAGAGCCTAAGAAAATAACTACAACTACTCTGGTAATATCTACCAAAGTTACGATTTGCATATGTTGTAACCTAGTATTTCCACTCAAAAATGAGCACAAATTTGCACTATGAAACAAGTACCAACATTTTCATATCTTCATTATACATAAGAACTCCACAAGAAACCACCAAAATATAAATCAACAGTTGGAGAAAGGATAAATAAATAAGTAGAAACATACTTATACAAATGGAATATGTAAGAGAAATGGAAATAAATGAATTAATCTCATAAACAATAGTGAGCAAAAGTTCACTTTTTTAAAAGTAGGGAAGTGATTACCCTAAAGTCAGAATCATGGTTTGCTTTTACAGGAAGGGGGCACAAAAATGGAGTTCTGAAGTTTCATTTATTGGTTAGGATGATGGTTATACAAGTATTTTCTCTCAAGTAGAGACTTACACGTGTCTTTGGGATTTGGGGGGCTTTTTTTGCAATACATTAATAGAAATCCCACAGAGGTGTATATTAAAATAAAATGCAAATGCTGCTCTAAAATATGTATGACTCAAGACTATCCCTCTCCAACAATAGATATTTCTTAATGAACTATAGTACTGACTCTGGTTAAAGCCAGAGTTTTCTGGAAAAGATCTACAGATAAAAAATTCAATCTCTAAATTTACAAAAACGGTCTTGAACACCATATTCCATATACATGGCATCAAGTAATCCTTATACAGTGAAAAAGTTAGGGAGTTAAAATATCATGGTAATGATCATCATCACCATTATTTCAATTTATTAAATGATTTAATATATTAAGAATGTCCTCAAATGAACCCAAGATCTTCTTTGTATGAACAGATTAAAAAAACGGGTTTATTTTATTCCAGATCTCAAAAATTAAAGGTAAAGGGGAGAAGACTGTTGGGAACAGTGAAGAGAGAGAAAACTGAGTTTACCGTGCAGAGGGGATCCAGAGGGGCTGCTGGATAGACCTGGGACAGGGCTACAGCGACCTCCTTGCTTAGATGTCAGTTCTTGTTCAATCTCTTCCAGCCCAGCACTCTTCTGGAAACGACTCATACGATTCACGACTCGTGGCGACATATGTGTTCGCACACAAGGCTGGCCACCATAAGGGTTGATCGGGAAAACATGGGAAGTGCCCCGGAGTGTACTGACCACAACCCAGCGGCAGTCATGGCTGAAACATATGTCCTGCACCTAGAAATGAAACATGGAAAAACACAGAAATGACTGCAACTATTCAGATTTAATGAAGAATATCACACACATATTTTCAAATACAAACAGAAATGCTTGCCTGGTTACCAAATTTATCTCAGATCAGGTTATATTTTCAAAATGCTTATATTAAAGATTAGAGTCATTGTGAATAGTGATCAAAACTTCACATCAGGGATTTGATAAGATTTAGATATTCTAAAAGGAATTCTACCCCTTGCTGTATAGAGTGCCAAATCAGAAAACAAGACCTAGGTGGTTTTGCTCTATAAACCTATATTTAAAAAAAAAAAGATACATGGATCATATTAATTTCTTTAAAGGCATCTGCCTTCCAAAAAGCATAGAAGAGAAAAATTAAAACATACATTATACAATGTATACAAGGTGAAGTTATTAATCTAATCATTTATTTAACAAATACCTGCTGGGTAACATGCTAATAAACACTAAGAACAAGAGGCAGATAAAATCATCCTTGAGCACACAGCCTACAAGGAAGAAAAGACATTAACAAAAATATAACATATAAAAGTGAAATGACTCTTACACATGAGGCACAGTGGTAACAAAAAAGAAGGAATATACAACGTCTGCTTGTGACAGGCAAAAAGGAGATGTTTGAGAGAGCAGACAGAGACTCAGGAGTGGCATCAGAAACATGGTCTGAATAGTTCTGGGTTCTGGAAATGAGTTTTGAAGTAGGCTATATTTACAAAGAAAGGAGAGAAGGGCATAGACATATTAAGATATTCTACTTTGGATATAAATGCATGGACATAAGATGGAAGGGGCTTCCCTGGTGGCTCAGATGGTAAACCTAAGTTCAATCCCTTGTTCAGGAAGATTCCCTGGAGGAGGGAATGGCTACCCACACCAGTATCCTTGTCTGGAGAATTCCATGGACAGAGCAGTCTGGTGGTCTACAGTCCATGGGGTCGGAAAGAGTCAGATACGACTGAGCTACTAACACTTTCACTTTCAAGATGGAAATGAAAGGCAAGTAATTCAGTATGTCAGAAACAACATGAAAGTCAGAGCAAGTGGTGTCTGGATTTTATTTAGAAAAGAGTGGAGTAAAGATTTCAATTCTGAGCAACTCCCGAGCAGTCCACTGGTTAAGACTCTTTCACTGCTGCGGGTCCGAGTTCCATCCCTGGTGGAGAACTAAGATTCCACAAGCAGCACGGCACAGCCAAAGGAAAACAGAGCATTCAGTTTTTGAAGCATGACTATGGGAGTGAAATGAAGGGGAGTGAATTTGTGGTGGAGATAAGGGTAGCTGAAGGAAAGTTAGGGAGGAGTCCCTTCAATAAACACGGCAGCTAAAGGACCCTGAAGAGAAGTAGGAAGAGAAAATGTCTCAAAGCACTCTAATGACTATCCAAATGCCCATCAACAGATGCCTGGAGAAAAAAGATGTGATACATACATATACACAGTGGAATATTTCAGCCATGATAAAGATGGATATCCTGCTATATGTGACAACACAGATGTACCTTGAACTCATTATGCTAAACCAGGTAAGTCAGACAGAGAAAGTACTTTATGGTATCACTTAAATGTGAAAAATAAAAAAGCAAACTTATATGTGAAAAAAAAAAAAAAAAGTAAAATGGTGGTTACCAGGGGATGCAAGGTGGGGATAAGACTGATGGTCTTTAGGGGTACAAACTTGTAACAAGTAGTAAACAAACCACAGAGCTCTTATGTACAGTATACTGATATAGACGATAATATTTTGCAATTGGGCTTCCCAGGTGCCTCAGTGGCAAAGAATCTATCTGTCAATGGTGGAGACACGGGTTTGATCCCTGGGTCAGGAAAATCCCCTAAAGAAGGAAATGCAACCCACTCCAGTATTCCTGCCTGGGAAATACTGTGGCCAGAGGAGCCTCATGGGCTACAGTCCATGGGGTCACAAAAGAATCGAACACAACTTAGTGACTCAACAACAACAATTGCACAGTTATGTAATGTGATAAACTTGGCTACAACAGGCAATCACATTACAATATATAAATGTATTGGAGTAACAAGCTGTATACCTTAAAGCTGCATACTGCATGTCAAAGACTCAATTTAAAAAATCACTCTTGTAACAATTGAAAAACGTAAAAACTTATGTATCTGCAGTGGTCGGCAAACACTATAGGCCAATTCTATATCCTCTCTCTCAGCTATTTCTTTTTTTTTTTCCTCTCAGCTATTTCAACTACTCAACTCTGCCCTTCCAGTGTCAAAGTAACCATAGAAGACATATATATAGATCAATGAATGCAGTTATGTTCATTAAAAAAAAGAACTTTTTACAGAAACAACTGGCTGGCCACAGACTTGATCTAGGTAAAGTTAGTCACTAAATTGTATGACATTTATCAGACGCTAATACGGAATTTCCAGTATTTTCAAATTGACAAACTGAATTTATTACTTTTATCTTGAAACCAGTCTAATGGTGAAAATTTGAACAAAAATCCCTATTTACTTTTATACTTTAAAAAGACAGCCAAGTAAAATTCAATACTGTTTTAACCACAGTCTCTTGAAAAACAGGCAAGTCACAGGTACATAAGAAAGATTTCTACACTGACTAAATGATAAACTAATTTTTCAACACATAAAACAATTGTCAAATAGTATTTTAAAAAATAAACCAGACAACAAAAGTATAATTTAAAGATGCTGATGAGTAGGATTTAACTTGAAATATGCATTTGTCTATATATATATGAATATGAAAAATATTAGCTAACATTACAGCAACATGAACTAAGTAAAATTCTTCAAGCAATCCAAGAAGCTAATTTTCAATATATTAAATCTTTGATAAGCCTAAATTCAACCCAAAATCTTGACTAACATTCCAGAAATACCTTACAAATAAAAGCTATAAATATTCATCAAAGTACAAGAGCCTAGAACCTTTGAAATAAAAAAGAAATTTTAGTTTTATACATCAAACGAATATTTCATTGCAAGACGACTGATAGACAAAAATGATCAATACACAGATAAGCCCTAAACTGAACCACATGTCCACCATTTCAATTTCTGTGACACATCCTAATGCCACATTAATGTTATAATTAAAGAATCTCCTGATTCTTTATGCTGAGAAATTTAACTCCCAGCGAGTCTAGAATTACAAATAGAAAGTCATTCCTCAAGTGTCTCATCTGTCTTCTTCGCCTACAATAACTTTCAGCTAAATGACTAACAGAAAAGCAAAAGAAAAGGAAGTAGCAGGACAAAGAAAAGGGTAAACAGCAGAAGCAAGAGAGAAGAAACAGCACCGGATGAATTTAATATTATTGTATCATACACATTAACACAAGCCAGAATCAAATAAATAAAAAAATCTTTAGGCTTATTGAGTAACTTATGTTCCATCATCAGTGGAACTAAAACATGTTATCTAAAACCTTTTTCCAAAACACTTATAATCAAGACGACCTCTTGGTCTTGTCAAGGAAAAGAAGTTTCCTTCTTTTATTTTAAGAATACTTCTGAAATGAGGTGGTGGTAACAAATAGTATCAAGGCAAGAAGACAGAATCCGACTAAATGCTTACTTAGAAAACTGCTGTTAGAGAAGTGATTCTGCTCTATGAACTCAAAGACACATCGGGATACATAAATGAGCAGAGACAGTTGCTAAAGACATCAGCAGTCAAGAAACTAGGGAAAGTTTAATCCTTTAAATAACGTTACAGAGGATAACAAGTCGCCTATCCACAAAATGCAAAATGATTTAACTGTCCATGTTATCAAACAAGTTGGGTGGTTTTTCACATATTGTTAAAAACAAGAAAGACGGGGAACCCTCATTAGGACACTCATTATTATCAGTTCTGAGCTTTTAAATAAGCAAATGTCAGCATGCTTAACAAGATATAAATGAGAAATACACAGTGCTTAATTGTTTTGCAAATTTCTACTGGGTCACATAATTTATTGCTCTTTAAATGCATTTTTTGGCATATTTATAACATCTCACACTTGCTTCTTATTGTAATGATGCAAAATTTGGCTATGAGAAACCAATCAGGCCTGTAGAAAATTAAATTTTTCTTAAAACTTAGTGCAGCTCTATTTCAGTAATTCTAATTTATAAAAACATTTTATCAGCAATCTAAATGAATTTCATTGATTTACTCACCCAAACAATATTTGGGGAAACAAAAATCTAATATAGCAGACATATACAGAATAATTATGTCCAACATTTTATTAAAATAAAACCAAGTATATATTCATTCACAGAAAGGGCTGAATTCAAATGACATATAAAACAACAGTATTTGAGCACTAGAATTAAGTGTTATTACATTTAAGAATCTAAGATACAGCAATCGGCATCACACAAGGCTCTAAATTTATGCCACCAATTTACTCCACGGTCTCAATTAACCAGTAACAGCAGTTTAAAATTTTAGGGTTATTTTAACACCCTAAAATCTAAAGCAGATATTCCCTAACTTTAGTGTGCTAGGCAGCACTTAGATTATCTGTAAGAAATACAGATCTTTGGTCCCACATTCAGAATTACAATTTAGGAGGTGTTGGGAGGTCTTGGGGGAGACAGAATCAGGAAATCTGCAGTTTTTGAACACTCAGATAAGGACTCTGTTACTGACCTTAAGTCTGTAATATGGAGCTAGAAAAATTAACAAACTGATCAGAAATAGCAGCCCTGGAGCACCATACCAAATCTTAGAAATTATGTAAAAGATACTTTTTAAAAAAAATTAACTAAAAGCAATGATTTCCCAGGGTGTGAGTGGGGCAGTAGATGGACTGAAAAGGGCCAGAGGAAACGTTCTGAGATGATGAAAATGCACGATACTTTGATTTATGGTTGTACAGATGTTAACTAGTGGATGGCACATGGAACACCCAACCTCCAGCCTTCACTACCTCACCTGCCACCACTACAGATGCTTCCTACACACTGCCCACAGCCTCTCGTAGAGC